TCTCTCTCTCTCTCTCTCTCTCTCTCACACACACACACACACACACACACACACACACACAAACTTTTGTTAGACATGATAGGATGGAGTATAACACAATATGAAAGAATGAATTTTGAATTAAAAACCTGGCAAAGAAAGGCGATTAGTTTTGCATGTTCTGTATGTTAAAACAGACAAAGGTGCTTGTGAGAAATTCTTTGGATAACCCAAGCCCTTGGTCTCCTCATCTTGTTTAAGCACTACTCTGTCTGGAATGTGTGATGTTTGTGGGGGTTTTTTTGGCTCTGCTGAAGGGGTGCATGTTTTTAAAGGGGGGTGCATGTATGTCTGAGGACCTTCTTCTTTACTGGATAAATGTGTTTATAGATAAAGCAGGTATGAATATTGCTTCATTGACATGAAGACAGACTGGATGAGGGAAAAACCTGATTTAAGCAAATTCTGTGAAGGTATTTCCACAAAGGAAGGAGGAAGAGCGACAGTGTTTATGCTTGTTATTTTCAGGTTATCGCATGAGATTAGGATCTAGCACAGACAAAAAGGATTCAGGTCGCCTTCATGTTGATTTTGCTCAGGCAAGGGATGACTTTTATGAATGGGAATGTAAGCAAAGGATGTTGGCCAGAGAGGAACGTCACAGGCGCAAAATGGAAGAAGATCGAATGCGACCTCCCTCTCCTCCAGCGATAATGCATTATTCAGAACATGAAGCAACTTTGCTGGCTGAAAAACTGAAAGGTAAAGGAACATTTGCTGGCTCTTTATAAAGTTACAGCTTTGTCACAGAAAGGTTATTGATGTTTCAAGCTAAAGTACAACAAAACAGGTCTCTTTTTTATTTCCCTTTCTCTTCAATAGCTATAGCTGTTATTCAGGCATCAAGTATCACACTTTTCCACTCCAACAATTTGTTCTGGAACTTCTCAGGTATTTAAGGAAGGACGAAATCAGCAGCCCCCTTCTGTTTCTCTCCATCATTTCATGTTTAGAAGCATGTCTCCATTGTGGCTACCTATGGCCATTCATGGACCAATCGTTTGAAAAGTTGTCTAGTTTTTTGAGGAGCCATACAGGCCAGTGAACATCATCACACCCTATATCTGAATTCTGTAAGTTGTATACGCAGAATAAGAATTAGTATTTTCTTTTAAATGGCAAGTAAGACCTTAGGGGTGTTTTTTTTTTTTTTTTTAATAACCCATGTAATTTAAATTAGATCTGAGTCTACTATGAGAGATGACATTATTGCATTAAAATTCACCTTTCTTTTTCTCTAGTCCTGGAAACTAATCATCACTCCTATAATAAATATAATTGCTGAAATCCCATTTTTAATAATGGATAACCCATGTAACTTAAATTAGATCTGAGTCTACTATGAGAGATGTCACTGAACAACATTTTAAAAAAATTAAGAGTTCCAAATTGAGTGTTACTTGTGCGGCACATTATTGCATTAAAATTCACCTTTCTTTTTCTCTAGTCCTGGAAACTAATCATCACTCCTATAATAAATATAATTGCTGAAATCCCAGATAATTAATATTTATAGTTACATATATAATAGGTCTTTCATTTTCTCAGTAATGAAGAAGTTTAGCAACAATCTCTAAGACCCTTATCCCCATATGAACAATTAATTAAAAATTATAATGAAACAATGAAGGGGTAAGACCTCTACTACTTTCCAAAATATAATAGACCTGAGTAATTATTCTACTGCAGGACTTAGGCATACTTGCTGGAAAGTCTGTGGTGAAATGTGTGTCACAAACTTCACCAAATATATATATGAAGGAAAGAACATACTACACAAATATCTTATTTCATTTCTGTTGGTTGTGGCATGGTGAGTAATCACTAGACTTTGGAAGGATAGGAAGGATTTGGCAATGAATGAGTGGTTTAAACAGGTCTGGGATATAGCAGTTCTGGAAAAGTTAACACAAGAGATACTTATCACTAGGGACCAAATAAAGAAGAACGATTTTCTGGCAACATGGTTTTCTTTTATACAAAATATTTAACATAGTAATGAAAACACTGTAAGTCCTTCAAGTGTGTCTGGAAATATTTGGGACAATATTATATGATAAATAAAAAGATACATTCAGAAATTTATTTCAACAAAAATATACATGCAAAATCTACAAACATGAAATGCTATGTTTGTTTGTCCAAGTTTGTAAATACATTTGTTTTTATTTTACACATATTTTTGAATATTTTGGTACCATGGTTTATATTAATGATTTAAAAATATTCATGTACTGTCAAGAGATTGGGAAAATGAATTATCATTGTTTTTGTTGCTCTTCTGGAAAACCAGGCCTTCTACTTTGTGCCTAAGATGAGCTGCCCAAGAAGTGGGGAGGGAATGGCCACTGGTAATTGGAAGGCTGGCTGGATAACTTGGTGAGTTAGTTATCTACCTATGGAGCCAGGGGTTAGCAGCTTGATTCTCCACTGTGCATCCCAGAAAAGCTAGCCTGTGTGGTTCTAGGGATGCTTCCAGAAGAAGACAACGATAAGCCACTTCTGAGTACTCTGTACGTAGAAAGCCCTGAAAAAGGTCACCGTAAGAATTGACTTGACAGCACATCATCATCATTAATTGGAAGGCAGCAAACACCTGTGCCTTATCTCTATGAGAGACTAAACTTCAAGGCTGGAGCTTGTAGCGATTACCCTGCTTTGGCTCAGGTGGGAGTAGTTTCTTATCTCTATGAGAGACTAAACTTCAAGGTTGGAGCTTGAAGCGATCACCCTGCTTTGGCTCAGGTGGGAGTTGTTTGGAGATGGAGCCAGAGAACCTAGAAGGGAGGGGTGCGTCAGAGTCTAGTCAGTTCAGTCAGAGACAGAGAAGGGAGAAAGAGTTTAGAGTTTGAGGCAGAGCCATTGAGTTTAAGGAGTGATTAGTCAGAGTGTGACCTGTATTAATTAAGACAGAAGAGGTTAAAGTAAAATACTGAAGTTTTGTGTAAGTTTAAGAATGTGCTTAAGAACCATTCCTAAAACAACTTGTAATCAATAAACCTGTTTCTGTTTAAAAGTTCAGTACTGAATGAACCTCATTCTTTCTTAGGAAATATAGGTTGATAAAGAGATCAGCTGGTGGCAACGTATTAAAGGGTGTGTTGGGATACCTTCGTGAGCTCTGTGTTTGGTGAAACAAACAGGGGCCATGGGGTGAACGTAACAGAGTTGAGTTAATTTGGAGAATAGTTTCAACTGAAGTGAGGAGAGGAAAGAGGGAAGAAGTTACTTGCTTATTTGTGAAAGTTTAGGAAAACTTGACTCCTGATTGCAGACCTTATGTAAGAGTCTGGAAAATGAAATTTGGGGTATAAAAAAAGGGAGAAAAGTTATGTAGTTTAGCCTAGTTGTCTCTTAGAAGAACATTATGCCCATCTGCTGTTTTGCTATACAACCTACACTCCATAAATGCTCTGAGATTATGCTGAAGCTATGCCATAGCATTGGCTAGCTATATAGGTTTTAACAGAATTCCCACCTATAGTAGCATAAAATTCTGCAGAAACGGTTAGGAAACCATTCAGAGTCATAAGGCATTGGGATTAGATCTTTCTAATAAATGCACCACCCATGCAAAGATTATAGATCTATCAAAGTGTTAGCCCTACCAATCTTTTATAATTAAGAGATGACATATTTTTCCTCCATATGTAGATCACCATTGTTTTGTACAGAACAGCAACAACAAAACAAATTTGGAATGTGTCTTGCTGTATGACTGACTCTATATGTTATCTGGAATAACCCGTCCTGTGTATGAAGTCCCACACCACTCCTAACAGTTGACGTTTTTCAGGACCATTAGGTGAGGAGACTCCAGTACTCCCCTGGGTAGTTCAAGGGGGCAGACTGATGAACAGTGAGTAGTTAGTTTGCTGTCATGTGCCATCAAGTTGCCTCCAACGTCTGGGAACCCTATGGATGTGGTCTCCTAAATGTCATATCCTTAACAGTTCTGCTCAGATCTTGTAAAATCAAAGCATGTCTTCCTTTATTGGATCAATCTGTCCCATATATTTGATTTTCTTCTTATATTGCTGCCTTCAGCTTTTCCTAGCATTAATGTATTTTCCAGCAAGTTTAGCCTTCTCATGATATGCTCAAAGTATGATAGCCTCATTTGTCATTTTTGTTTCTAGTGGGAAGTCTGGCTTGATTTGATCTAAGACTTATTTGTTGTCTTTCTGGCAGCCCGTGGTATCCACAAAGCTGTCATCCAACAACGTATTTCATACATATCAATTTCGTTCCCCTCCATTTTCACTATTCAACTTTCTCATCCACACCTAGCCATTCAGAATACAGTGTGTATGATCTTGGCTTTGTTCTCCAATGACACATCCTTATACTTCACATCTTTCCTTGTTCCTTCATAGCGGTTCTTCCAAGACTCAGACTTGTCTTCTTGTGGTTTGTTGGCTACAGTCTCAATTTGGATTGATGACTGGATCAAGGTATACAAAATCTTTAATTATTTCAGTTTCTTCATTGTCAATACTAAAGTTCTGAAGTTGTTCTTTAGACATAATTTTTGTCTTAATATTCAATTGTAGTCCTTATTTTGCATTTTCTTCTTTCACCATTGAGTTATTTCAAATTATAGATGCTTTCCACCAGTATTGTGGTATAATCTGCATATCTTAAATTATTGATTTTTCTTTTACCGATTTCCATTCTTCCTTCATCTAAATCTAATCAAGCTTTCCATAATGTATTCTGCACACAGAAGCAATATTGTAAAGAAGAGTGGGCAAAAATTCCTCCACAACAATGTGAGAGACTGATAAAGTCATACAGAAAACCATTACTTCAAGTTATTGCTGCTAAAGACCATATAATTTTTATTATGTCCTGATACAAGAAATCATGGAAGTCAAACAAAGTGTACTCTCTTCTTCACATCACTGTATATTTTCAGTATGATCTGTAGTGCCTCTTGATATTGGACATTTCTCAGTTGGTATATGGTAGCAGCCTTTATTGTAGTATATTGAGGATCACTTTGCTTGCATGGAAATTACAGCAATGGTCCTATATACTGCATTCCTTGGTATCTCATTTCTTGGGGATTGGAATGTAGATTAAAAATTTCTAGTCTGTGGGCTATTGTTTTGTTTTCCATACTTGGTGGCATAGCCTTCTTCCGATCTTGACAGATTCAGTTTTTGCAGGTCTGCTGGTGATTTGTTTTTCTTTCAAGTACCTTGAGAGTAGCTTTCACTTCTTTTTCGAAAATTCCAGGTTCTTCATCACAAGATACTGTCATCCTTGTATCCCTTCTGTTTGGTTCTTCAGTATATCATTTCCATCCTCTCTATATTTTTTCCTTGTCAAATTATATGTTCTGTGTTGAACTTTCAGTTTTCCTAATCTAGGTTTAAATTCCCATTCGATTTCTTGGATCTTATGGAAGAACAGTATGACAGATTCTCTATTCTGTTCTGTCTGTCTTTTATCTGCAAATAGTTTTAGCTAGAAATTTGTTGAATATGACTCTGAATATGGACATGGAATCTCTGTGCATTCCAGCAACTCATCCTCTCTACCCTCCTTGGCTGATAATGTATGGAGAAGTCTGGTGGACAAAGCTGAGACAAATTCATCTCAGTCCCTTCCAAAATGCAAGGTCAGCTTCTTTGTCTATGCTCAAATCATGATGGCCATGAATTTTCCATTAAGTGACCTGACATTGAGCAGTACCA